AATTGAATTTATTTCCGGCACCTTTGGCTAGCCGGCATTCATCCAACTAAATGACCAGTCGTACCGATGCTTTTCGAGGAATAATGAGAAAATACTAAACACGTAGTAGTAAATTTATTCATACAGATATTTTTGTTCATTTTAAATTTCTGGTTTGTATTAAAATTTTTATATTAATCTATTATTTATTTAATTTATTTTTACAAGTTTTTTTTTTTTTACGTATGTATAAGTATTTATAATTCTTATAAAATTGTTTTTTTCAAATGATTATAATATTTTTTTTACAAGACATTATTAAACTATAAAACTAATAATAAATAACCAAATTATTATCACACATCAAAACTATAATATTGAAAAATCTTGCTCATACATTCTGGACCAAATTTGGTTATATCCAACTTTCTACCATGTACTCTATCAGGTCGGATTGAACCTCCCTGAACTTTACGAGAATAATACCATCTTCTACTATAATTTACGTCAATTTTCCATCCATCAATTGCATAAAGTTTTTTAAGTAATGATTCATTCATCTCAACTGTGTGAATGGAAGGATTATTCTTTTTTATTTCGGTGAATAGATTGTTCGTGTTTAAGAGATTAAAGCATGGGATTGAAGTGAGATTAATGTATTCTAATTTTGGTAAAGCAATAACAAAATCTTTAATAAGATTTATATTTGTAATTTGTGCTTTTGAAATTCCAAGATTTTGTAACATTTGACAATTTTTTTTGATAGTTGTTAAAATCAATGGAGTTATTTGCGAAGATCCAATATCTAATATTCGGAAATTTTTTGCACTTGGTGAACGAAGTATAGTTATTAAATCATATTCTTTAATGGCTGTAGTAGTATCTCTGTCACCGTAAAGATTAAGGGTTTCTAATTGAGAAAATTTAGAGACAAAGGATGAAATAGCTTCAGACGAGATATTTTTACATTTAGCCAACAATAAATGAGATAATTTAGTTGGAACATTGGTTCCAGCTAAAAAGTTTAATGTTAAATCACTGATAGAACAACCGCCCAAATCAAGATGTGTAAGATTTGGAGCATGAGCAAGAATAGGTATAATAGTTGAATATTCGGAAATTATTGGACATTCGTGGAATGAAAGTCTTTGTAAATGAGATAATAAAGGTTTGCTAGTCATATTAAAAGACATTATTGTCTCATCATCATCATTGCAAGATTGTGCTATTTTAACTTGACCAATTATGCGAGAAAATTCTTCTAAAGCATTACTAAATTGTTTACTAGTGCATCCGCAAAAATCGATTGTTTTGATGCTTTTACATTCCAAAAGCAAGACCTTTAAAACTTCAACGGTAATTATAGATTCCAAAGATTCGGATACGGAAAAAACTTTTAATTCAGGAAAAGATCTTAAAATATGAATTAATAATTCAGGAGTGACGATTTTTTGAGTTTCAAAAGAACATTTTTGTAGACCGTAGGTAGAAAAAGTGGAAAGATCTAAGTGATGAATCATTTGAGAGTAAAGTTTTTTAATATCATTCATAACATTGACAAATTTTGTAAACGTATGAGGAAAATGCGACGCTATGATATAAAATTGGAGTAGCGTGAAGGTTAAAAGTATGATTAACTAAAGCACAAGTTGCTAAAGTTTTCTTATCATCCCCTAACAAGTTAAGAATAATACGAATAATTTCGGGAGGAATATATGGGATTGATGTATTTTTTTTCATTGGAACAATATTTGAACTGGTAAAAGGATAATCAAATAATTGAGGTAAAACAAGGTTAGACATTTTTTTGTTAAATAGAATGATTGATTGAATTGAAGATTGATTACTGGTAAATAAAATTATGGTTGTCGGATTTATTAAATAATTTCTTCTTAATAGTTCTTTTTAGTAGTTTTGCTAAATTTTAATTCCGAGTTGAACATGAACGAGCGGAATTTCGTGTCTTATATAATTTTCGTCGAATTAAGAAACTATTAAAGATAGAAGAAAAACAAACTGATATTAATTTCCATGTATATCATTTTACACAATAACTGACGTTGTTTGTGGCAACAATTGTGGGCTTAACCTATTATTAGGTGGTTTTACAAGAGCATTAACTTTTCAAGCCACGTTATAAAATTGAAGGTACATTGTCAAAAAAAAGAGCTAGGTAACAACGTGCTACCAACAATGCGTCAATGCTATTATGGTCAAATGATATGTGCCCGTGTCATAGCCGAAAACCAAGTTTCTTTATTTCAGTGTTTGTTTACTTCAATATGCCACAGTTAAAACTTTAGTTAAACAAAAACCTAAATTTTGACTTGCATAAACATTATGTACGTACGTATGTACAGAAGAGTATCACAAATTTGAATGACCACTAGAAATTTATTTCGTTATGGCGTGCGCTACCCTAAGGAAATCTTGTATAAACATTAAATAATAGAAAGCAACTCGTTAATACGTATTACGGTACTTACGTGCGTGCTTACATGTGCTATTACGTTTGTTTTTGTGCGTGCGTACGTACATACGTACGTACGTACGTCATTTCTATAATTAAAAATCTTATTAAGGTTTGACATTGTGGTATTAATTATATGGAGTTGACAGAAAGCTTTTTTTTAAAAAAAAAATATTGAACAATGATAACATAAAAATAAAAAAAAATTTTTAAGTTATAGTTTGTAGAATTTTATTAGAAAATTTTTTGTCAAATTTAGTTTAGGTTCTTATTAAATTATCTTGAATAATGGTTTAAAAAAAATTTTATTAGAATAATTTCTATTTCTTATCCTTACATGCTCAGCTCTTGATCTAAAAAAAGACTTATTGTTCATTAATGGAATTTGATTATAGGAACAATGATTTGAATAAAAATAAATAATATTGGGATGTTACACGGACTAAATCAAACCATTGATCATTTTATTATGATCAAATTTTTATTAATGAACTTAAAATATTGTTCGAACGTAATTTCACTTTACTTAATTATAAAGAATGAAACTTCAAGTATTCTATAAGACGAATGTTTAGAACCCACGTAATATAATAATAATAATAATAATAATAATAATAATAATAATAATAATAATAATAATAATAATAATAATAATAATACTAATAATAAAAGCATGGCCTTATTCTTTGACTTTATATAAATAACTAGTGAAAATTTCCAGGTAGTTTCATGGCTAGATAATATGTTGATACATTTTAAAATATCAAAAACATCGATTTTTCATTATCAATAACGATAGATTAAGTATATTATAATTGATCCCATATAATGTATATGGTGCCGGATAAGTTCAGGGATGGCAATGAAGTCAATGGAGTTCAATGGTTATATGAATGGAGTTCAAAAAACTAGTATCCATTGACTTCATTCAGAGCTCCATTAGTTCCATTTGCAGCTCCATTGGGCTCCATTGCCAACTCTGCGGGTAATGTATTCAGGGGTAAATCGTAATAAAAAATTTACAATAAGATAAATCATATATAATAGATGATTAATTAGTCTGTGTAACACCCCAATATATATGTTAGGCAGAAGCTCATATCGTAACGAAATAAATTCCAACCTAATTTGTGATACTCTTTTGTGCTTAATGCATGCAAGTCAAATTTAAGCTTTTGCTTAACCCTATTTTTACATATTAATAAATGTTCGATAATTGTTCTAAAGTTTTTTACCGTGACGTAGGTAAAACAAATAAAAGAAACAGGTCCTCGGCTATGACAATATTAGATCTTAATACATTGACGCCATTGTTGTGACGCGTTGTTACCTAGTTCTTTTAAATGACAAAGTGACTCAATTTTAAAATGTGACCTGATAAGTTAATGTTCTTATTAAACCAACTAATAATAGGTTCGGACTCTCACAAATGTAGCCATAACAACGTCAGTTTGTGTAATGGATATACACGGTTCCCATTTTCGGAAATTAATATCAGATCATTGTTTTTTTTCTTAAATAGTCTTATCTCAATGAAAATTATAAAAAGGCAAGAAATTCGCTCGTTCATTTTCAACTTAGCAATAAAAAAACTACAAAAAAGATTACATATATTAGTAAATCAGATAACTATAAATTTATTCAATAACTTTTATTTAGCAGCAATCAATCTTCAATTCACTATTTCTATTTATCAAAAATGCCTAGCCTTGTTTTACCTCAATTATTTGATTATCCTCTTACCAGTTCAAATATTGTTCTAACGAAAAAAAATACATCAATCCCTCATATTCCTCCTGAAATTATTCGTATTATTCTTGATTTATTAAGGGATGATAAGAAAACTTTAGCAGCTTGTGCTTTAGTTAATCGTACTTTTAACCTTCATGCTACTCCAATTTTATATCATAGCGTCGCATTTACTTTTCCTCACACGTTTACGCATTTCGTAAATGCCATGAACGATATTAAAAAACGTTGCTCTCAAATAATTTATCACTTGGATCTTTCCACTTTTTCTACCTACGGTCTACAAAAAAGTTCTTTTGAAACTCAAAAGGTCGTCACTCCTGAATTATTAATTCATATTCTAAGATCTTTTCCCGAATTAAAAACTTTTTCCATATCTGAATCTTTAGAATCTGTAATTACCATTGATGTTTTAAAAGTCTTGTTTTTAGAATGTAAAAGCATCAAAACAATCGATTTTTGCGGATGCACTAGTAAACAATTTAGCAATGTCCTAGTAGAATTCTCTCGCCTAATTGGTAACGTTGAAATAGAACAATCTTGCAATGATTATGAGACAATAGTGTCTTACCATATGACTAGTAAACCTTTACTATCTCATTTACAAACACTTTCATTCCATGAATGTCCAATAACTTCTGTATATTCAACTATTACAGTAAAACTTTGCAGAAACCTGTATTTTTTGCTAAATATAATTTTATAGGAATTATTAAGACACAGGCTATAAATATATAAATACTCATACATATATATATATATATATATATATATAAGCTTTGTAAAATAAATTAAATAGGTTTAATACATTAAATAGAAATTTAAAATATGGAAAGGTTTATTTTTGAATAAAAATATCTGCATAAATAAATTAATCAATACTATTTAATATTTTCTTTTTATTCATTAATGTTATATCTACAAAGTTAGATTACCGTATTTGCGCGTAATAACGCGCAGGGGTGTAATTTCGAATTTCGGTCTAAATTTAGCTTAATTCAAAATAACGCCCGGCCCGCTATTACGCGCAAATACGGTATTGGTCCTTTTCAATATATCCCTTTTGTGTGTCGAATACAATTATGACTACCTAAAACTTTCAAATCATGTGATATGATAGTATCCAACTAGAACTGTTAATGGGCTGGATTGGATTAAGTTTGGTTTATAGTTGCTGTACAGGACGTCCCAAATAGCGATGGAAATTTCTAATTATTAATTATGAAATTGTTAACGATTAAAAATTAAATTTTAATTAATAAGTTAATAATAATTTCTAAGCTAATAATAAATGAATGCATAGAACATCTTCGTAGAAAATGATTTAATCAATAGTTTTTTTAAATTTGTCGATTTTCTATAAAATCATTGATCGCATCAATTAAAACTGTTATGGAAGATTCTATCGCCGACATATTTTTACAGGAACTATTATTAATTAATTTTTATCGCTACAAAATCATTTTTATATTAGAGTACATAAAAAATATATTTTTGATTCGCTATTACACATTCTATCTATACTTTCTATGCATATTGGATTCATTTATTAACTGTTAAAAATGATTTAACAATTTCATGTTAACAATTAATAATTAGAAATTCCCATCGCTAGTGATGATTGGACTAGTTAAAATTGTGTTTGGGCCGTTCCAAATAGTTTGCACGTCAACTATGTTGTTCCATAGCTACTTCAGGCAAGTTGTTACTCCGGAGTGCTCCAAAGTCAGCTACACCATTAACAATCCTATATTCAAAAAAAAAAAGCGTTAAATAAATCATAACGATAATAATTAATTTCATTAATTTTCCACTACTCTAAGACCGCATGCAGTTAAATCTTCGGTTAGCACCCTTTAGGAGGGAAAAAGAAGGAAATTGAAACGAATATATAAAATGAACAAATTATTTTTAAGGTAGTAAATCTTTTTTATATACTTATGAGAATACAATTATTAATTTACAGTTCTCAAAAAAAAAATTTAATAATGAACTAGAGTTAGAACTTGAATACGTTTTTACAATCCTGATTTAAATATGATCAAAAAAATGCATCCGGATATATTTATATCTGGATCCATAGAGAAAAAATCATAATTTAAAACATCTTTAGTATTGTATATTTGTAATATAAATTATTTCTATGCCTCAATATTCATACCTCTCTAAAAATTTTAACTGAAGACTCTTATATCCGGATTTATATATTATATCAGGATTAGATTATATCTAGATAAATTATATGAGTGTTGCCTGTCGTCATGTAAAATCACGAGAAATTAGATTTTAAGAGAATTTTATAGATTTCAACGAATATAAAGATACGTTAGAAAATAATAATGATCAATAGTTTAGATCAATAGACAATCTAAAATCTCCGAAATTTCCCTCGATCATTATCACAAAAATCATGAGGTCATTATCCTGCATCACAAAATCGATTTCAAAATTTATCTTCCAGATATAAGAAACATTTTTGCAAAAATTATCATCCCAAAATGCTCTTGACCACTTTGCTTGACCCCGTTCCCATTTTCCCTATCCGTCTCAAATATACCACAGGTTCTATCTATGTAGCAAATGTGACTGTACATACTACCGGAGAAGTATTGTTGAAGAATTTTCATAATTGCATCGGATCTTATAGAAGTAATCCTTGTAAACTTGTGTACCATGGCAAGGATATACAGCTTACCGATACACTTGAAAAGCTGGGAATCAAGGTATGACTACTCAATTACTGTAGAAAGTTTTTTTACGTTGAATACATATAATGGTAATGAATTATGGTATTTTTAACTTGGGAAGGGGATTTAGTCGAGACAGTAAATAGTTACTGTAAAAATTCATTAGGGTTTTCTCAATTAGAGTTTGCGTCTGCAGAAACTAAAGCAAGAAGTTCAATGCTAATCTACTTGAAAACATCTACCGAAAGAATGGAATTAAAGGTACATTGGAGCGATACGATTACTCAGATTGAAGAGATGATCCATAATCTAAAAGGCATTCCCGCTTACGAACAGCGTATTACTTTTAATGGCATTGAATTAAGTTCTTATTATACCTTATCATATTACAACATTCAAAAAGAATCCACATTGCTTCTGGAATCTAGAAAAATTATTATTTATGTTAAAACAAAAACTGGAGATATCATAGAGCTTAATCTAATGCCTAATGACTCTATTCACAGTATAAAATTAATGATACAGGATAAAAAAAATATTCCCCTTATCCAACAACGGATTAATTTTGATGGAAAAGAATTAATCGATTTTAGTACCCTTTCATGTAACGAAATCCAAAAAGGATCTATACTTGATCTAGAAATTAAATCAATGATTATAAAAATCTATGTGAAAGTAAAGAATGAAAAGACTATAGAGTTAAAAGCAAGAAGAGATCATACAATTAAAGAAGTTAAACAAATGATCCAGGACAAAGAAGGCATACCCTCTGAACAGCAATATCTTGTTTTTAATAATCAATTGTATGATGATGATCAATCCTTGTCATATTACAAAATCGATGAAGGGTCTACATTGAACTTAGAATATGAAGCAATAATGATTTATGTAAAATTAATGGATGAAAAAATCCTAAAATTTGAAGTGAATAGAAATTGCACCATCAAACAGATTATGCGTATGATCCAAGATAAAGAAAGTATTCCCCCTTATAAATTAATTTATTTTACTGTTGATGATGGAAAAATTATACATTGCTATGACACTTCAGCCTCATGGAGCACCTTTATAACTTTAGCATGTTATGGGGTTAAAAATGAGTCCACACTTAGTCTAATGCAATATAAACCATATTGTTGTCCAATAATCGTGAAAAATCTAACCGGAAAAGGAATATATCTGGATGTAGAATCGAGCGATACCATTAACAAAGTTAAAATAAAGATCCAGGACAAGGAAGGAATCCCTCCTGATCAACAACGTCTCATTTTTGCTGGCAGGCAATTAGAAGATGGACGTACCTTATCGGATTATCAAATTCAAAAAGAATCTACCCTTCATCTCGTACTTAGACTACGTGGCGGAATGCTTCAAGAAACCAGCGGTCGTAAAGAATTTGATGCGTTGCCATCACTCGCTCAATATATGCTAACGCCTGAAGAACGTCTACAAAATGGTATTCATGCTGGTATTATCTGTAATTATTGCAGCGAACGTGAATGGAAAGGGGCAAGGTAAATAATCATTGTATTTAATCAGCTTGAAGATATCCATTTTTTTCTTGCTAATGTTTTTTTTTACTACTTACAGATATAATGTTCTGAATGCCCCGATTATGACTTGTGTTTTAATTGTATCACAATGTCCAACCTGCTTCATAACATACAGCATCATTTCCTTAAAATCTTGAATCCCTTAGATCCGAAGGAAGTTCCAAAAGGCACTTCTATTGTTCCTGTTACTATCTCCCCGATACTACCAGACACGAAAGAGAAATTGTTGGCTCTGCTACGTGAAGAAGATTTTCTCCTGAAATGCAAAAAAAATATTATGATGTTGGGAGCGATCCTACATCCAACAAGGATTGGATGGATGTCACTGATCAGATGCAGCATGAGTTGGTTCGAGAGTTTGGATATTCAGATGAAGCAGTGCAATTGTTGCGACGTGCACCACAGCTTTACCCAGGTAAGTAGTGTCACTTTTTTTTTTTTTTTTTACAATGATATTTAATTTTAATGTCTTTTTTTCATCAAGATGATCCTGAGTTTTGTACCACTCAAGTATATGTTCGCAATAATATCGCTAACATTGGGAATCTCACTGAAGGGATGCCGGCACCTGATTGCCCGTTGGTTCCATTAGATTCTTCAATTTTTACATCAGCAATTGATAACAACAATGCTGATTTATCAACTTTGGTTAATTTACGTTCACTTTGTAAATCAGGACGGCCTCTTGTTCTTCTTGGTGGATCATATACTTGTCCTTTATACCGGTATATATCTCATGTACTCAATGATATATATATTCGATATAAAGCACGTGTAGATTTTTATATGATTCAAATTAAAGAGGCACATGCTTCTGATGTTTGGCCTATTGGCAACATTGTAGATGTCAAGGAACATCGCACATTATCTGACCGTTTAGCTGCTGCACGTGAGATGGTTAAAAAAACTCAGTTGGAAATTCCTGTACTAGCAGACACAATGGAGGATACTTTCTTGAAATTGTATTCACCATGGCCATTCCGTTTTTTTGTTGTTGTAGATGGTATTTTAAGACTTGTTGGAATGCCAAAAGAAGCGCGTTATGACACAACAGATTTAGTCGAATGTTTGAATGATCTTTTATGTAGTAAAAAAGATTAGCTGTTTCTTATTATTTTTATTATTTATTTATTTTTTTATTACTATCTACGTTAAAAAAAAATTTTTTCTTTAGCCTATATAAATAAAAGCTTCTTTTTTTTTGTTCTCATAACTTTAGATATCTAAAGTGATCGACCATTATACAGGAAGTAGCCGTCTGACCCATCTCGGAGCATAATAAAAGATGTTGTGAGGGCAATTTGGTCTATATGTACTTGTAAACTTGACTAAATAAATGTTAAATTAGATATTTTCAAAGCTCGAACTGCTTACCCGACTCTAAATTTGGTAAAAATGGTTTATATTCATAACTATATAATTTACTAAAAATAATTAGTATTTAATGTCCAATACTGTAAGTTGTTAGATTAAAAAACTTGATAATCAAGTTTTCGTTTGATTTTGCCGTGCAATATGTAGTGCTGATTTTACAAAAAACGTTATTTTAATTAACATTATGATAACAATAACGATAAAAATAATACTGTATTTGCGCGTAATAACGCGCAGGTGCGCGTTATTTTGAGATCCTACGCGTTATTTCGGGACGCGCATGCGCGGTAATTCGAATAATTTGGGTTACAAGAGGAAGCCCTACTTTTATTAATGAACTTGGGCTGGAAAATTCGATCAAATATGTAATATGGTATATTTGAGGGGGCGCGTTATTGCATGGGCGTTATTTTGAGTCAAAAAAACAAAATTTTAAAATTTGGGAACACCCATGTGCGTTATTACGCGCAAATACGGTAGCCAAGTAAGGATAGATACTAATATGTACATACATACACATACTTTAATACGCAAAAAAAATAACTTTAGAAATATGTCAAATTAAAAATTCGATTTTTAAAGCTAAATTGAATTAAAGAAAACAATAGATGACACAGTATTATGCATAAATTCTAACTATTCATATTTACAGATTTAATTTTAGCGTGTAGAACAATTTTGGATTATTGTTATACATGTCTTCAAATTTTTATGATTGAATAGAATCAGCAGATATATATAATTATGAGGATTGATTTCTTGTATATATATATGCAAGTTTTGGACAAACTTGATAAAAAATAAACCAACTCTAAATTATATAGTTAAATTATAATTAATATTAACTTGAAGAATGGATGCCTCTTTGAAAAAAACCTCAACAATTTTAATTTTTGGAGCAGGTATAGGTGGACTTAGTTTATCAAAAATCTTGATCAGAAATTTAATGTTAAAATATTCGATCGCGAGACTAGTCCTCAAAGTTCATTTTTCAATATTATTTTTAGAAAAAAATGCATATTTACTATGATTTAATGTATTGTTAAATATTGTATTTTTCATTTTGCATAAATAGAACGATGGGAAGGTTACAATATCAGCATGAGTAGAAAAGGAATTCCTTCTTTATTTTATTGCACACACATCCAAAATTCAAGATTGATTGACTAAAGCAATACCGGTCCCAACTCCTAAGGAACTTAATAGTACAATAGTTATTGATAATACAGGAAAATTTTTATTTAGTGCACCACAACGGAGCTTTAATATTTCTAAAATGGAACCTCTTAAACATGACTTTGCTAGCATAATTTCATATCGCAATATATTAAGAGATGTTCTGTTAGATGGTGTTAATGTCTAATGGGATAAAAAATGCCTTGGATATGAAGAAAGTGAAAAAAGTGGTTGGACATTATTTGATGATGGAGCTAGGGAATTTTGTGACTTATACCCTGTCACTATATCAAGATCGCAGGGCATAAATCAGTTATGTCCTGGGCACTATGTGATAAGCGGGACTTTCAGCCCCGCTTATACCCAACTGCCCAGGAAATAACTATTACTTATTAATCGGTGTAGACGGAATTAATTCTCAAAGTAGGTTATACTATCCCATTATCATAAATTTATTTATCTACATAACAAATAATAAAACTAATTATTTATTATTTTTCTTATAGTTCGAAAACAAATGGTTTCTAACCTAAAAATTCCGAATCCCAGTGTAACTAGTGTTGACGTAACTGTTATAATACCCAAATAAATTGCGGACAAATTAATATTATTTTCAATAATTCTGTTAGGTAAAAACGGTAATGAGTTTCTTTCATCAATGCATTATATACAAATAAATGAATCTGACGAACCACTTTATAGACTTAATTTTTCTTATCATTAACTGATAATTCTTAATATTAATGAAAATTGTAAATTAGTTGGCGTAATAATCCAAAATCTGTTGTTAAACATACAATTCAAGAATTAAACAATTACGTCCACCCGGTGAATTAAGAGATCTGATAATTGAAATCATATCATTAGTTCTATAATCTAATCCAGGCTATTCTGAGAAACATCCGTTTCAGGCATATAATTCTATATGACGTCGTCAACTTCGTGATATTGATCCACTATAGTTGTTAGACGAAACCTCGAGGTTTCGCGCTGACGAAACGCGAAACCTAGTTTCGTCTTTCGTCAATTAAAATCTTAAATGACGAAATTATGAAACTGACGAAAGATGATGAAACTGATGAAAGACGACAAAACTAATAAAAGACGAATATACAAATAAATGCTGCTGAAAATCATTGAAAATTATGTGTATAAAAAAATAAATTAACAAGAGCAGAAATTTATAAAAATTACAAAAAAAATTTTATTGTCAAAAATTTTTCAGGGTAATGATTTAATTAAAAGATCTGCAAGTTACATAAAATTTTGGCGATCTATATGTTTTGTGAAAAAAGATAGTTTTCATCTATAAGCTAACATTTATATCTTATAATTTAATTGGTTTTCTTTTTATAACAAAAAATTTTTGTTATTTCATATTTTTATACCATCCATGATTTTTTCCTTTTACGCCAAAAATTTCTGAAGTATCTTGTTTTGAAAATGGCGTTTTGAGACTATCGATGAAATCAAACTCGAAATTTGGTTGGCATCCACGTTATTATCTACGTAGATTCAATGTTAAGACTCTTTGCATTATAAGCCAAATATTATGGTTATACATTTAACATTTAATTATTCTCATCTACCTATTTTATTGAATATATCTAAACTGAATTTGTTTTCAAGACATTTCGGACCCAATAATTGCTTAGAGGTTTTTTTTTTTTTTACATATTTTGATATAGCTCTTTATAATGGCTAAATAAATTTAAATTTCATTTAGAAAATGTAAAGAGCTAATTTTCACTTTATTTTATTTTCAACTAGATATTATCTTGAGGATTAATTGTCGCAGCTGATGCTGAAATTTTGAATTATTTTATTATGAAATTTTAAAAAAATTTCGGGCCTTTTCGTTAGGGTTTTTTTTTAGGGTTTGAGGGTAGAGTTGTTAGTAAAAAAGTATATGTGAATTTTAGTAGGTATTATAGATTTAAATTGGGACC